TTGAGTGTTACTTGAAGGATGCATTGTAACTGTTTGATTATAGTGATTGTAGTGAATTTAACTGTTTGCCAAACTGAACTCCATGGTGATTCTTCATGATTATGATACTATGCTATGGTTCACCTTATTGTGGACAACTTATGATGTTACACTATGTCTGTAAAAATTATTTATGATGATGTTATTTACATAGTACCTTCATGACAACTATATTTGATGTACTACAATGTTAGTCACATACTTTTGATGAACAAGTGAGGTGTTTAATTGTTCACTGTCATTTCCCTGACAACCATGTATCATTCAAGATCATGTCTTCATTTTCTCATTGAAAATATAGGACACACATAGGACACCACATAGGACGATATATTTGTGCTGTCACCCAGAAAACAGACTATGATGCTATTCCAAACCTAGTCATCTCCTCTACAATCATGTGTCTCTGTATATAATATCTACATCATTTTTTTTAGCAGCTAGGAATCCATCACTTTTTATTTATTTATTTGAAAGGTAGAGTTACAGAGAGACAGAGGCAAAAGCAAAGAGAGAGGTCTTCTGTCTGCTGGTTCACTCTCCACATGGCTGCAATGGCCAGAGCTGGGCCGATTTGAAGCCAGGAGCCAGGAGATTCCTCTGGGTCTCCCACATGGGTGCAGGGGCCCAAGAACTTGAGCCATCTTCTACTGCTTTCCCAGGCCATAGTAGAGAGCGACATTGGAACAGCCCAGTCTTGAACTGGCACCCATATGGGACACTGGCATTTCAGGTGGTGGCTTTACATCCTACACCACATTGCTGGGCCTTATATCATTTTCTTAACAGTGACATGAAGTTGTACTGTCTTTATATAAATTTAAAGTATTTGTACATGATGTCATACTGAGTGATGACAATATATGATGCTAAGGATGTCTATCACATCAACTTGATGATAATGTATGATGTTATATCTACAAAGTTGGTTTGCAAAAAACATATGATGTTCTATTATCACTGTAGTATCTCTTTGATAAATATGTATAATATTTAAAATAAGGTTATTTTCTTTGATCAACATACATTATGAATGTTTATATGCAAATCATCTTTTTTCAGTGACTTTAAAATATTTTTTATTTTATAAGGTGAATAAATTTCATGTATTTCTTATAGACAGATTTAGAAGCATGGTGGTTCTTACCACCCTACACACTACAAATTATCTTCTTGAAAGCCAAGTGTGATCATATCTATATAAATAGTGACATCTCCCTTACTCTCCTCTCCTCTCCTCGCCTCGCCTCGCCTCGCCTCGCCTCTCCTCTCTCTCTCTCTCTCTCTCTATATATATATATAGATAAATACATACATACATTAGTGATATAGATTATTTATTTTAGGTTATAATAATTTTATAATTATTATAAGTATAAATATTATTATATCTATATCATTCCTTGACAACTTTGTGGAGTAGGATACTGTTTTACAACAAATCCTGGACAACCTGAGGTGACAATACAGTATCATCCATTATGGCTATGTATGATGCTACATTATGTCTGTGTCCTTTCCTAATGACAAGTGTGTTGCTCCACTACTTACGTGTCATCTCTCTGTAGTACATTTATGACTCATCACTATCTTCTATATCTTCTTGGTGACTATGTATGCTATGTTATGTTATTTCCATCTTTTTGGCAACCACACATCATGGTGCCCTATGTCTTCATTATAGGATAAGATCAAACAATATATACTATGTCTGTATATAAATATTTTAACCCTATGTATAATCATATACTATGGCATCATCTCATTAATGGTCATGCATGATGCTATACTGTCTATTTCAACCTCATTCTGGACTACATCTGTGTCCCTCTTGTAAACAATGTGTGGCACTGTCTTATGTCTAGATCATCGCTCCAATAATCACATATAGCAGACACTACATTTGAGTGCATCTGTATTGTCTCCTTGAGAACCACATTTGCCTCTACACTGTGTGTCTTGCCTCTGTTGATCACGTATGGCACTAAGCTGTGCCTTTGACATCTCCCTCATGATCATGTGTAACACTGTCTTCTCAGTGTAGCCTCTGTGAATTTTCATCATGCAGCAAACACTCTGACTGTGGAATTGCCCGGACAATCATAAATGAGCCTACAGTATGTATAAGTCATTTCTCTAACATACATGTATGATAATTTATGTCTTTCTGCTTCTCCTAATGTCCATATGTGACTCTGTGTTATGTATGCATAGACTCCTTGACAGTCATTTAAGAAATTTTGGTGAAATGGAATGATTTTACCAGGCATAACTTTTTCTTAATTTTCCCAGATTTACTTCCTGTGGCTAACACATTTTTTAGTAGTGACACATGTTGGTGTTAGGACAAGTTGTAGAATTTTGACAGTGATTTAATTGTATTGTCTTTCATCATTATCTACCTTTTCAAAATTATACTTGCTCTTTTGATCACGAGGACTTTTCAATGGTGATCTTTTCATTGATTATCTATAGAAATTCTTTTCCTGTCCTAGATGCAAACACCCTGAGTTGCAGATTTTTTTAAAGTAACAGCTCACTTTTCCATTTTGTCCAAAATACTGGCTTTTAAATACTATCCCTTAACTGTAATTAATTCTACATTTTTATTTTAAATATTATTAACACTGATAAAGAGAAGTCATTCAACAATATATACTGAAATAATTACTATGTTCCAGAAATTGTTTTAGGAGCATGGGGTATATCAGTGAACAAAGGAAATAGAAGCCCCTGTCTTTGCACAGTTATATTGCAGAAGGATAGGCAGAAAATAAGCCATGCCACACACGTGTTTTGCATAGAATGTTGGATTACGTCAGCATTAGGTTGTGCAGAAGGCTGGAAGTCGGTGAGTAGTGTAGGAAAGAGACAGGTTGCTAAGAGAAGGGTGAGAATAAATGATAAGCTCAGTTATCCTGGCTTTGCTTTCTGTATCATCTGCTATTTCTGCCCTTATTTGATAAAACGTTACTTTAAAATCTTTTGTTTTTCGCTGGCGCCATGGCTCACTAGGCTAATCCTCCGCCTTGCAGCGCCGGCACACCGGGTTCTAGTCCCAGTTGGGGCGCCGGATTCTGTTCCGGTTGCCCCTCTTCCAGGCCAGCTCTCTATTGTGGCCAGGGAGTGCAGTGGAGGATGGCCCAAGTGCTTGGGCCCTGCACCCCCTGGGAGACCAGGAAAAGCACCTGGCTCCTGCCTTCGGATCAGCGCGATGTGCCGGCCACAGTGCGCCGGCCACGGCGGCCATTGGAGGGTGAACCAACAGCAAAGGAAGACCTTTCTCTCTGTCTCTTTCACTGTCCACTCTGCCTGTCAAAAAAAAAAAAAAAAAATCTTTTGTTTTTCATTTTGGTGTGTTCTGTAAACTTTTGCTGATTTTGTGCTTCCTAATCAGTTTTGTTTATTCTATTTTTTTTTTCTTTTATCTCTGGTCTTTGCTCTGAATTCCTTTGTTAGAAGTTGTATCTTATTCAACAGAGTTAATTATCTGTGCAGCTTCAACTGTTTCTTTGTATGTATCTCCATTTCCTTTCTCATTGAAATTATTATCAATAATTTTGTTTTTGGTGTCTTATTTCTATTTTTTTTTAAATCTACAGGGTTTCAAACCATATATTTTATGTGTTTTAAAAGCATACTTTTGTAAACCTTAGAATATTGGTCTATTTTCTTTCATGTTATTAACAAACTCCTAAACAAGTCAGGTCAGCCTTTTCCTTTTAAGGTTTCTGAAGCATCCAAATAAGTAGCAAACTTTACTTTTTTCATTACTTTAATTTAAAGTAGCAATTGTTATCATTTTGCCTATTTCCTTCTGAAGTTAACATTGTCGGAAATGTAACTAAAAGTTTATTCAGATAAATCTCTTTTCTATGAGTGCAAATTTAAAAGCTAAAGTTTCCTATCCTTGCTGCATTTTGCCATTATACATCTCTATAATTTGTGTTTAAAAAGCAGCTTTCATCTGGCAGGGTAAATTGAAACTTTGATTCTGACAAAGATTTCACTACTTATGTTTTTCTATGCTTATTTAACACCTCTATTTCTTACTTATTTGCTTAGAAGTAAATGCACATAGCACCTCTCCCATCCATCCATCCGTCCATCTGTCTATCCATGCATCCCTCCTACATCAGTGTGAGCGTCTGCTGTGCACCTGACATTTCTTGGCACTGGGTGTACAGCAGCAAACAAAGCATTCAATCAATTATCTCTGTGGAAGTGAGGTTCTTTGAGCCTGTTCTCTGCCGATGTTACTTCCTAGGAAGGCCTGTGCACCTCCCATAAACATAAATTCACATCTGGTGTGTCATATCATGCTGTTTCTTTTTTTTCCTTATTTGGTCACCTGCCTCTTAAAGCCTGCTTTGATCCCATTATTTCCCTTACAAATCTTTTCCATCCTCCATTCTTGTCCCTTATCCCCTCTTTTATCTTGGAATCTATTTTTTTAAATTATTTAATTTATTAGAGAAAGAAAGACAACCTTTCATCCACTGGTTCACTCCCCAGGTGGCCACAAGTTAGTGTGTTGCCAGGCTGAAGCCAGGAGCCAGGAGTTTCTTCCAGGTGTTACCTGCATGGGTAGCAGAGGCCCAAGCTGTCTTCAGCTGCTTTTCCCAGACCCTTTGCTTGGAGCTGCTTTTGAAGTGGAGTAGCACAAACCAGGATTGCCAGCGGCAGCTTTACCGGTGATGCCACTGTGCAGAACCCCTCTCCCCCCAACACACGCACACAAACTCCTTCCAGTTGTCCCTTTCAGTAAGCTCAGAGGCAGAGAGGAACGCATTTATCCTCTTCTGCAGTGGGACCAACTTGCCCTTGGAGGAGTGTATGGGCTGGCCATCACCACAGGCAAGAAGATGCGGGTCAGGGGATAAATACTTAGATAATTCACGGTCTTTGGTTCAAAGTTCTGTATTTAAGATGAATTAATATATACCCCCACTCTTAAAAAGGAACAGCAAGAGTTTACCATACAGCCACAAGAAAGCTCATCACCAAACTGGAAGGCCATGAAGGTGAAGTTTCAAAGGTGAGTCGTTTTCTTTCTCATTTGGAGCATCTTATTTACTTCCAAAAAATACAAAAAAGCATGCTTAGTATAAATTTGTCTTGGATCTGAGGTCGTAAAACTGGCTCAATTATCTCATTCTTTCTAGAAATAAATTACTCAAAGACCTTATTTTTAAGAATGTCTTCAAAATCAGCGCAATCAATAATTTCAAATCTTTCTAAAAGTATGAAGTAGCATTCTCCTCAGCAGTTGGCAGAAAAAGTTTAACTACAAATACTTAATACAACAAGGGACTTAAAAGAAAGAGTTTAACTACAAATACTTAATACATAAGGGCCTTATGAAGTGCTATTCTTGATTCAAATAAATACACAGGTTTATATAATTCAGAAAATTATGTGTAGCAAGTATCAAGTGTCCTGTAAGCTAGACACAAGTGAAAAAGTGTTTCCTGGAAATATTTAACACCTGAAACCTCATTTGCATATTAGTATTGTATATAAGCTATTTCTAGAACGCTTATTCACAGAGCAGGGTCCCTCCATCAGTGATCTGAGGTGTAGATGTGGCATCAAAACACTGCAGAGTAGATGGGGGTTCTGGGGACTCTCCCTTCCTAGCTCAGCCCAATTCCTTGGATTCTTAGCTGCGATCAGAGTCGTTCCTTTCTGTAAGATATCAATGTGAGGATGTCAGATCACTGAAGGTGTTCTCACCCCTCCTGGCTCAGCACCTGCTGCTGGCTGCTGCCCTTGGGCCAGTCAGTACCTGTCTCTCCCTCACCCTATTCCTAGCCTGGGAGAGGAGGTGAGGGAGTGGGATGTGGGAAGCAGATGGGGGCAGACATTGGGCCAGGTTTCTGAGAATCTCTGGCTGGGTATCTATTGATCATCACATCAAGCATGGCCCCTCAACACATACTTACATTTTTGTAAACGTGTGTCTCCTCCAACTCTACGTTACTAAGCTTTATGCCTGTTAAGTGACTATTACCTATGACATTGCCATCTGGTAGTGACATTTCTGGAGAGTGCGGAGCTAAAATATCATTAATACCCTTTTTGAGATATTCCACTCCAGCCATATAGAAAGCGGCCTGAATCATGGCTGTGATTACTAACAGAAAGTTACGGTCAGAGACGATGCTGGAGTGTGGGTCTGAAGAAGCCTGATTTTTGTTTTCATTCAGACCAGGACCCTTACTGTGTATATGGAGAAGGGTATCACAAGTTTGTGGAGAAAACCAGATGGGGAAGACCGAACTGATAAGGCTGCTTTGTCTTTATCCTTAGAATTATGAAGGGCGGGGATTGGAGATCTTCCACCTAGATTTGGATTTTCGGGTGTTAGTCCTTGCAGTATCTTTCTTGTCATGTAGAAATTGTTCTGTGCAGCAACACTGGCCTGGGGAGGTGGCAGGCTCTTCATTATGTCTCCCTGTGTGCTGATGAAAAGTCCATTGGGAACCCTTACATGAACAGACACTCACTCATTTTTCTTCTTTTTCTTTTGCAGATTTCATTCAATCCGCAGGGAAACCATCTTCTAACTGGAAGCTCTGACAAAACAGCTAGAATCTGGGATGCTCAGACTGGCCAGTGCCTCCAGGTTCTTGAGGGACACACTGATGAGATTTTTTCTTGTGCTTTCAACTATCAAGGGAACATGGTCATTACAGGTACAGGAGAAATAAACACCATAGGCTCCACTTTTCTTTCACACTACCTATTAGAATTCCCAAACTGCATACTAAAAGTGTACCCTCTTCCTCTATGCCACGTTCGGGCCCATGGCTCCTCTTAGCCTGCTTTGTGAATTTTGAATTTTCATTGCTCTCCGTAAGGTACCACTTTGGTAGCTTGCCTCACTTGTGGTGGCATTTCTCCAGACATCACCACAGACTAAATGGTGAATATTTGGCTGGTGTCAGCAAACGTTAGGAACAAAAACAAGGAAGGAGAGTTCTGCACCACTGGCTTCATGGCCCATTAGAGATTTATTCTTTAAGTTAAGTTTTTTTTTTTCTCTGCAGATGCCCCCTATTAAAGTGCTCCAATTTGGGGGAAAAGAAAATATATTGAATATTTTCCCAGCCATTAAAAATTCAGTGTGGGTTATCTTATTAGTAATATTTTATAAGAAATGAGTTTGGAACAGGTTACTTTAGATTGTACAAAGTGGAGAAAGATAAGATTATGGCATGATGTCTGTGGGATACCTTTAGGAAAGGCCTTGAACACAGATCAGGGTGCTGTTTTAGTGTGGAGTAGTGATACCCTAAATGGACATTGAAGGCTAGTTCTAGTTTTCAGTGCTTTTATTGCTTTGAATATATTAAAAATTTATAACCTGGATTAATAGGTTAAGTGTCACAGAGTCAATTGATATAATTTATATGCTATGAATTATAATTTATATAGACATTGGTTGGGTAGCTTCCTAAATATAATTGCAAGGTGATGAGAACAAGCCCTCCTTTCTCCCTAAAAAACATCTCCCTTCTACTTAATTATGGATACCTTCTAAATTGCAGATTACTTTCTTTGGGCTTATGATTATCAAGTGTCAATTAAAATGCAGACACTTCTGAAACACTATCTGAATAAACCATACATTTTACTGTCAACACAGCATCAGATCCTTTCCTAGTCAAAGGAAATCATGGGGGGCTGTGACAGAAGGAGTTGGATACTCCTGTAGTGGGGTGCACCCTAGGGAAGAGGGAAGAGTCTGGGCTGGCTAAGCAGAAGACTTCCAGGTGCTTATGTGAGGCCAGCACTATAATACTTCTTCCCTCATCAGTTTTCACAGGAGACTTTGCAGAGCTTAGGGAAGGGATGTAAGTTGTCTTTGCTTTGTTGTCATGCTAGCACTTCAATTCCTGAGCTTTTTTAAAGATATTACTTATTTAAAAAAATTTACTAAAGTTATGCAAATTTTATGTATTTCATAAATACAGATTTAGGAACATAGTGACATTTCCCACCTAACCCTCCCTACCACCCATGCTTCAACCCTTCCTCCTCCTCCCTCTCAGATTTCCACTCTTAATTTTTACAAAGATCTATTTTCAGTTTACTTAATGATCATACATTTAAGCCTACACTAAGAAAAATTTCAGCAAATAATATGAAGATAAAGCAAAAGAAAAAAGTTCCTCAATGGAAGAAACAAGGGCTATAAACAATAATCAAATCTCAGAAAATCTATTTCACTCCAATACATTACATTTCAGATACTCTATTAATTACCTTGGATCAGGGAAAACATATGATATCTGTCTTTTGGGACTGGCTTATTTCACTAAGTATAATAGTTTCTGGTTGCATCCATTTTGTTGCAAAAGTCAGGATTTCATTTTTTTTTTACCACTGTGTAGCACTCCATAGTGTATTTATACCATAATTTCTTTATCCAGTCAATCATTGATGGCTTAATTCCATATCTTTGCTATTGTGAATTGTGATGCAATTAACATGGGGGTACAGATAACTCTTTCTTTCATATGCTGATTTCTTTTGGTTTGGATAAATTCCCAGGAGTGGGATGGCTGGATCGTGTGGTAGGTCTATATTCAGATTTCTGAGGTATCTCCATACTGTAGTTCCCAGTGGCTGCACCAGTTTATATTCCCACCAACAGTGGATTAGGGTACCTTTATCCCAACTTCCTTACCAGCATTTGTTGTTTGTTGAATTCTGTATGAGAGCCATTCTAACTGGAGTGAGGTGAAGCATTGTGGCTTTGATATAATTTTCCTGATGGATAGTGATCCTGAGCATTTTCTCAAGTGTCTGTTGGTCATTTGAATTTCCTCTCTTGAAAAATACCTGTTCTAGTCCTTTGTCTATTTCTTAATTAGATTGTTCTGTTGTTGTTGAATTTCTTGAGCTTTTTATAGATCCTTTATCAGTTGCTTAGTTTGCAAATATTTTCTCCCTTTCTGTGAGTTGTCACTATGCTGAGTGTTTCTTTTGCATGGAAGAAGCTTCTTAGCTTGATGTAATCACAATTGTTAATTTGTCTTTGGTTACCTGTGCTTCTGGAGTCTTTTCCAAGAAGTCTTTGCCTATGCCAATGTCTTGTAGAGTTTTCCAAATGTTCTGTATTAATTTGAAGGTATCAGGTCATAGATTTAGGTCTTTGATCCATTTTGAGTGGATTTTTGTGTAAAATGTGAGATATAGGTCAAGTTTCACACTTTTGCATGTGAAGATTCAGTTTCATCAGCATAATTTGTTGAAGAGACTGTACTTTCTCCAGGGATTGATTTTAAATCCTTTGTCAAGCCGGCGCCGCAGTTCACTAGGCTAATCCTCCGCCTTGTGGCGCCGGCACACTGGGTTCTAGTCCCGGTCAGGGCACCGGATTCTGTCCCGGTTGCCCCTCTTTCAGGCCAGCTCTCTGCTGTGGCCAGGGAGTGCAGTGGAGGATGGCCCAAGTGCTTGGGCCCTGCACCCCCTGGGATACCAGGATAAGTACCTGGCTCCTGTCATGGGATCAGCACGATGCGCCGGCCGCGGCAGCCATTGGAGGGTGAACCAACGGCAAAGGAGGACCTTTCTCTCTGTCTCTCTCTCTCTCACTGTCCACTCTGCCTGTCAAAAAAATAAATAAATAAATCCTTTGTCAAAGATAAGTTGGCTGTAGATATCTGCATTGATTTATGGAGTTTCTGTTCTGTTCCATTGATCTACAAGTCTGTTTTTGTGTAAGTACTGGTCTCTTTTGATGATATCTATCCTATAGAATGTCCCTGAAACCAAGTATTGTGATGCCTCTGGCTTTGTTTTTGTTGTATAAGATTGCTTTATCTGTTTGGGGTCTCTTGTGTTTCCATATGAATTTTTGCATCATTTTATATAGATCTGCAAAGAATATAGTTAGTATTTTAATTGGGATCACAATGAATCTGTAAATTGTTTTTGGTAGTATGGACATTTTGATGATGTTGACTCTTCCAATCCATGAACATGGAAGATATTTTACAATTTAAATGTCATCTTTTATTTCTTTCTTTAGTGTTTTGCAATTTTCATCACAGATATCTTTGACATGCTTGGTTAAATTTATTCCAAGATATTTATCCTTTTTGGAGCATTTGTGAATGGGATTGTTCTTAAAGTTCTTTCTCAGCCATGGCATCGTCTGTAAATACAAAGACTATTGATTTTTTGGTGTTGATTTTATATCCTTCCACTTTACTGAACTCTTTTATGCATTCCAATAGTCTTTCAGTGGAGTTTTTCGGATCCCCTATAAATAGGATCATTTCATCCACAAACAGGGATAATTCGACTTCCTCCTTTCCAATTTATACCCCTGTATACCTTTAATTTCTTGCCTAATGACTCCAGCTAAAACTTCTAGGACTATATGAATAGCAATGGTGATAGTGGGCATCTTGTCTGGTTTCCGGGTTTTAGTGGAAATGCTTCCAACTTCTCCCCATTCAATAGGATGCTGGATGTGGGTTTCTCATAAATTGCCTTGATTGTGCTGAGGAATGTTCCTTCTATAACCAATTTGCTTAAAGTTTTTATCATGAAAGGATGTTATATTTTAACAAATGTTTTCTCCGTATCTATTGAGATAACCGTATGGTTTTTGTACTTCAGTTTGTTAATGTGATGTATCACATTTTTTGATTCATGAATGTTGAACCAGCCCTGCATACCAGGTGTAAATTCCAGTTGGTCTGGGTGAATGATCGTTTTGATATGTTGTTGAATTCAATTAGGTAATTCAATTAGGTAAATTTTTTTTTTGAGGATTGTTGCATCTGTATTCACCATGTATATTGGTCCATAGTTCCCTTTCTCTGTTGTATCTTTTTCTGGATTAGGAATTAAGGTAATGCAGGCTTCATAGAAGGAGTTTGGGAGGATTCCCTCTCTTCCACTTGTTTTGAATAGCTTCAGAAGAATTGCAGTTAGTTCTTCTTTAACTGTCTGGTAGAATTCATCAATGAAGCTGTCCAGTCCCGGGCTTTTGTTTGTTGGGAGGGTTTTTATCACTGATTCACTTTCTGTCCTCGTTATTGGCCTGTTTCAGTTTTCTGTGTCTTTATGACTCAATTTTGATAGATTGTATGTTTATAAGAATCTATTTATTTATTCTAGGTAATTCTTTTGTGGTAATTCCTGATGATCCTTTGTAGTATTTCCTGATGATCCTTGTTATTTCTATGGTATCTATTCTTTTTTAAAAAGATTTATTTATTTGAAAATCAGAGTTACACAGAGAGAGAAGAAGAGAGAGAGAGAGAGGTCTTCCATCCAATGGTTCACTCCCCAATTGGCTGCAATAGCTGGAGCTTCACTGATTCGAAGCCAGGAGCCAGGAGCTTCTTCTGGGTTTCTCACATAGGTGCAGGGACCCAAGGACTTGAGCCATCTTCTACTGTTTTCCCAGGCCATAACAGAGAGCTGGATCCAAAGTGGAGCAGCTGGGTTTCAAACCAGCACCCATATGGGATGTCAGTTTTTCAGGCCAGGACATGAACCTGCTACACCAGAGTGCTGGCCCCTATAGTATCTATTTTTACATTTCATTTTCACCTCTTATTTTATTGATTTGGGTCTTTTCCCTCTTTTTTCATTAGTTTGGCCAATGTTATATCAATTTTGTTTATTTTTTAAAACCCAGCTCTTCAATTCATCAATCTTTTATATTTTTTGTTTCAATTTTGTTTATTTCTTATCTAATTTTAATGATTAATTTTCACCTACTAATTTGGGGCTTGGTTTGTTGTTGTATTTACAGATCCTTGAGATGCCTTGATAGCTCATTTATTTGATGCCTATTCAATTTGTTATGTAGGCACTGATTGCTATAAACTTCCCTGTTGATACTGCATTTTTTGTATCCCTTAATTTTGATATGATATATTGTCATCTTCATTTGTTTCCAGAAATTTTTTTTTCTTTTCATTTCTTCTATGACCCATTGTTTATCCAGGAACATGTTGTTCAGTCTTTATGTGTTTTCATGTGATCTAGAGATTCTTGCATTGATGATTTCCAGTTGTCATCAGAGAAGGTGCATGGTATGATTTAGAATTTTTTGAATTTGATGAGAGTTACTTTATGGCCTGGCTTGTGGTCTAACCTAGAGAAACTTCCATGCACTGATGAGAAGAATTTGTTTTCTGCAACTGTGGGGTGAAATTTTCTGTTATATCGGTTAAGTCCATTTGGTCCATAATGTCAATTAGCTCTGTTTCTTTGTTGATTTTCTGTCTAGTTGATCTGTCCACTTATGAAAGTGTGGTGAAATCATTTCTTTGAAATAACCAGGTGCCTTGTAGTTGGGTGTTTATATATTTATTATAGTCACATCTTCCTATTGAATTAATTCCTTAATCATTATATAGTGCCATTCTTCATCTCTGTTAACAGTTTTTATGTTAAACTCTATTTTGTCTGATATCAGCCTGGCAACACCTGCCCTTTTTTTTCTTGACATGAGTGTGGAATATCTTTCTCTGTTCTTTTACTTTCAGTCTTTGTGCATCTTTGTTGGGGAGGTGTGTTTCTTGTAGGCAGCAAATAGATGGGTCTTGTTTTTTAATCCATTTGGCCAGTCTGTATCTTTTAACTGGAGAGTTGAGGATATTTACATTCAAGGTGACTATTGATAATTAATAACTTGGTCCTGGCATTTTTCCATAAATTATTCCTATTGTTTACTTTGGATTTCTTTTGCACTTTTACTAGGCAATTTTCTACTTGACATTATTGCATAATGATGGTTATCTTTCTGTGTTTCTGTGTGTAGCAGATTCTTAAGCATTTTTTGTAAGTCTGGGAGAATGGCGACAGTCTTTCTATTTCTGTTTGTTGTGTAAGGTCTTTGTTTCACTTCATTCATAAATGAGAGCTTTGCAGGGTACAGTAATCTGGTTTAGCTTTTTTCTATCAAGACTGGGACTGTACCTTACCATTCCCTTCTGGCATGTTGGATTCTGATGAGAAATAAGCTGTGAGTCTAATTGGAGAGCCTATGAAGGAAATCTGTTGCTTTTTCTTGTGCATGTTGTTTTAGAATCTTTATGTTTTTCTGTGGAAAGTTTGACTACAATGTGTTGTATCTTTTCTGGTCATTCTGTTAGGAGTTCTATGTGCTTCCTCTATTTGGACATTTCTTTCTTTCTCCAGATTGGGGAAGTTTTTTTGGTAATTATTTCACTAAGTAGGCCTTCTAATCTATTTTCTATTTTCACACCTTCAGGAACTCCTAACACCCATATGTTGGGTCATTTGATAATATCCCATGGATCTCCAGCACTATCTTCTGTTTTCTATTTTCTCCTCCTCCTCCTCCTTCTGCTTCTGTTTGATTGTAGGATTTCTAAAGTTTTTCCTCTGGATCAGTTTTTCTTTCTTCTGCTCCATCAAGTCTGCTGTTAGTGCTTTCCACCACATTTTTTATTTGACCTATTGAATTATTCATTTTTAATATTTCATTTTTATTGCTATTTAAAATCTCAATTTCCTGGGAAAAAATTTCATTCATATCATGTATTGTTTCCTTTTATTCCCAGATTTGCTTCTAATTGCTTTTCAGTAGACCTATGATTAATTTTTTGATTTCAGTTTCTGGCATTTCCTTAATCTCTTCATCTTCACACTCTAATATTGAAATGTTGTGTTCCTTTCAGTGAGGGCTCATGATGTCTTCTTTGTTCTTGTTTCTTGAGTTTCTGTGTTTGTTTTTTGGCATTTGTGGAGTTGATTTTTTTGTTTTGTTTTGTTTTCTTTGATGGCTTTTATCTTTGTGCTATGCCTCTGTGGCTTAGTGGCATATCTGCACTTTCAGTGAATATCAAGCGGTGTGTAGTGGTGTGACCAGGGAGCTCTGGTCAGTGCTCCAGGGTGGAGCGAGTATCCAGGTTAACACCCAAGATGGGTGTGGTAGATCTCAATGCCTCTGTGTCTGCCCCCTGTGTGTTCCAAGCCACCATATGAACCACACAAATGATCTGTGCAGTCCTCTCTGTGAGCACAATGACCATGTGGAGCCACTTCTGGTGATTGCCCAGAGAGCTAGCTACTCCGTGCACCTTTTCATGTAGCTACTGAGTCCACATGATCTTAGCACACAAGTCTCCCACAGTCTCTGGGTGCAGAAATTTCTGTTTGCTCTGCCAGCCTGCCCAGTCAACAGAGAAGCTGATGTTCCCTGAGACAGCTCCGCCTAAGCATCTTGATCCTGGGAGGCTGTGGGTGCCTCACCATCCTTTTTGGTTGCCCACTCACCTCCCTGTTAGGCTCAAAGTCAGTTGGGACCACATGTTGTTCCCTCCTATAGAATCATTGGATCACATGGGTACACAAGATCCACTGGCCAAGTGTAGCTTCGTGACTGCCATCAATACTGCTCTGAGGGTGCTGTCCTGTCTTGGCTAGGTGCTGTGAACACAAACAAGGGCACGTGCAGCTGCTGGCCAGACTCAAAATGGTGCCCGCCCTATCTCAGCTGAGCAGCGGGAGTTGTGGTGAAGTTGACGGGAGACAAATGTGCCCCCTCTACTTCCATGGGTCTGAGGTCAGCTGCTAGCAACCACTAGCCCCAGACGCTCCAGTCTGGACTCACACCATGCTCTTCCCCCTGCTATATCTCCATGAGTTGCTGCAGTCTGGTGTCACCTCGGTCTCAACCTGCTGCCCTCTTCAGTTCTCAGCTTTTACAGTCGTGGGCAGCTCCCATGTTTGTGCTGCATGTCTTCACCCTCCACACAGGTCCATGGGGTTCTTCCTCCTCTTGTGGGATTTCCAGTGTAGTTTTCTCTTCAGTTCTCTCCTGAAAGTGCATTGCCTACATCCCTTTCTTTCACTGTTTATCCCTAGTGTAGCGCGTCATGTCGTTCCCTAATCCAGCAGCTAAGATATTATTGATTTTTATTGAATTAACTGAAAGCACCAGCATGCTAATTGTAAGCCCACTGGCTGACAGAGCTTGTTAGAATGGGGTGACCCTTCTGTCCTAACATCATCAGAAGAATCACTGTATCTGGATTTATCTGTCCTGTTCACTAAGTGGACTCCAGTAAGATTTAATTGCACATACTTTTTAGTGGGTTGACTGATGTTGGGTTTAGAATCGCAAGCTGGCAAAAAAAAAAAAAAAAAAAAAAAAGGCGGCCAATATGATTTTCCCATTTTTCAAAACATGATGTGTCTTTCTCCCAGTTCCAACAGCTCTCACACTTAAAAACATTTTTTTTTTTGCATCTTAAAATTGTAAACTTACAAATATTGATGTTAAGTACCTTGTCCTTGAAGGTAAGAGAGTCAGCATTACCCATGGACAGTGAGAAAAACCTGTTGACTTTCTGAGATGTTCTAAAATGAAATATCCTTCATCCTCATAAGGTTATATCCTAAACCCAGAGAAATTCAGATTCACTGTATTTACACTTGGTGGCAACATTTGAGGGGAGGGTAAGGAGATGGCTGAGTGGTGTACTCTCAGGTCCTCTCCAGTTCTAAGATGCCTGTGTGAGTTGGGTGTGAATCTGTGCTACTTACAACTGGCTGATATGAAAGGAAAATCATCAGTGCTTCAAAAATGTCCCAGAGACGCTGGGGCTCTGCAGCTAGGTGCCGAGGATCAGGTGTGCTTAGTACCAGGCTGTTTATCAATAATTCAGAAACTCTCAACTTGGGAGAAGAGTGAAGTGAAATGGATAAAAAAGGATGACTCTATGAAATTTGTTTTATTAGGCAGCAGGGATAATACCTGTAGAATATGGTGTTGACTGGAAGAAGCCTTCAGCGAGCAAACCACGGTGACAGAGAACTTGAGTTTCAGAGAGAAAGTGAGATATTTTGATGTTTGATATGCTTTTTCCTTTTTACTGCAAGCCAAGTATTTGTTCTTAACCTTACAGACATGTCCATTAAAAGTGGTTAAATTATATAATTTTTAATGTTATTTGGTGGGAATTACAGGAATCAATTAGTGTTTAATTTAATAAATACCTCTAGTTATTTCAATTGTATTTTATTTTTAATGTCATCATTATGCTGGTAAATGAAGCCAGACGATTTAACAATGTGTCTCCTAGATTCTACTTTGAAGGTGATTATTGTAATTTTTGTTGAATAAAAGCTTTTGGAGAAATTTTCTTGTGAATTGTGCATCTATATTTAGGAGGTATTTTTTAGGGTGATATGAGAACAAAATGGGACTTATTAATAGCAGATAAGTGGTGAATTGTTAGATTTTAAGAAGTTAAGAATGTTTACATGGAAATATTAAGCAGAATAAACCTTCAAAGTATTTAATTAAAAAATCTGGGTGGAAAAAAATGACTTATGAGAGGAAACAATCAAATGCTAGCCTGAGTACTGCTGGAATATTTTAAAATGCCTTTAAGAGAGCTGCTAATGCACTGTGGTCCGGCTGGTTAAGGTACTGCATGGGGCAGCAGCATGCCACACTGGAGCGCTTTGTTGGAGTCCTCACTGCACTGCTTGTGATCCAGCCTCCTGCTAATGCATCCTGGGAGGCCCCTGCCACCCTGTGGAAGACCCGGATGGAGTTCTTGGGCCTGGCTTTGACCTGGCCCAGCCCTGGCTATTGTGGGCCTTTGGATAGTGAAGCAGTGCATGGCAGATCCTCTTTTTCCATATCTCTGTTTCTCTGTTGATCTGTCTTTTAAATAGTGGAAAATAAATACATAAGCTATTGGATGTGTTGATGTGAACAAAGTTGGATGCATTGCTTTGAAAAGAGTTGCCCGACTAACTGCTTTCTTGGGATTGTGAGCTCTTAATCAACTAATTGTCACAGTGGGTCAGATGGCCATGCATGTCACTGACCACTGAACAACATACTTTTTACTGCTCTCACAAATGACAACTAAAAAATGTGACCATGTTTGATAAATGTACAAGCTTGCACACTTTTATTTGTTCTCTTAGCTCAGCAGGTGGCAGTGTTTATCTTCTTGCTTCTTTTCTTACAGCCACACATGAAGAGCATAAAGAGTGAACTTTGAATTCTATATCCTTACAAATCAGAGTTGTGTGCGGATATAGAACCACACTCAGATTGTGGTATAACTTAAAGCTTAGAACCATCTTCGCAACTCTAGGGGAAATGATATATTTCTTTGATCCTGATGCATTAAAGAGACATTTTCCCAACTACATGTGACAACCCAGACTAATAAGGTGGATGAGATGGTTTTACTTTTCTTACTTCATTTCTTTGTTAGAAATGTTATATTATGATAACTTATTATACAGTGACACAGTCTATCAAAGAACCTAACACACAATTATAGCTTCAGTATTGATATATTTTAAAATTTATTTTTATTTTACTGGAAAGGCTGAGACAGATGAGGGATTTTTCACCCATTGTTTTATTCCCTAAATGCAACAGCCACAGCTTGGCCAGGGCAAAGTCAGGAGCTCAGTCTGGGTCTCTCGAATGGGTGGCAGAGGTCCCAGTACTTCACCCTCACCCACTACCTCACAGGGTGTGCATGAGTAGGAGGCTAGGTTGGAAGCAGAGTCTCTGAGGCTTGAAAGAGAAACTTCCACAGGGAGTGCAAGCATCTGAAACACTGACTGAATCCCTGTGCCAAATGCTTGCTCCTCAATATTAATATCTCATAAGAGTGTATCATGTATTATTTCATTTTAATGAAGTTTATTGTAATTTCAATGGGCTCAGAGCATAAGACTTGTGAGTATGTTGAACTTCATTATTTTTACATAACTGTAAACCTAAAGGGTCGAACTGATTTGTGTCTGATTGTCAAAGACAAAAGTAAATCTGAGGCTGTTTACTCATCAGTTATGACGAGGGAGCTGTCTGCTGCCGCTTGCATTTCAGCCATAGTTGAGAAATCCAAAGAGATTGGAGAGTGAAAGGAAGAAATCAATGGCCAGTGTCCTGTTCCAATAGGAGCTTTGGAAGCAGGGAGACTTTTTTTTTATTAATTTTTAGGTGTATCTGGCCGTCCTTTGTTGGTTGCAGAAGGTCAGCAAACAGTTTGGGAACACTCAACAGAGGAAAGGTTGCTCTGTTACTGGTGGAGGATTTTCTGTGCGGTCAGTGGGCGCTTTGTTCCTGTCAAACTGTCATAATGCTCCTTGTGTGGGTGGGTGGCTGGCTGCCTTGACATCCAGTGTCTCAGGATTGACAGTATTCAGACTAATTTTGGAATCAAAATGCCCACTTCAAATCCTGCCCCACCTTTTCTTGGCACTGAGACTTTGAGAATTCAAATACTCATGATTCTTTTTTCACCTATAAATTGGGACTGACAGTTGCATGGGGGTAATTTTTGAGGAATAAATAAGTTAATAGAAGCACAAAGCTTGTGCTACATAGTAGCATTCAGTCAGTGCTCGCTAGTGTCATTTGTGGATGCTACTTCAATGGCTTGGGTTGAATAGCTATTAAAGAATTGGTACATTCAATGAAAATTTTCTCATTAGTGTTATAGCATCCCTATAATAGGCAGAAACCTTCCAATTCACCTTTTCATGGGAGATCAAAGAGGAGTTAATGAAATATGATGAAGATTTGGAGTGTTCATCTCTCGGGAATTCTTTTGTGTTCAGAGATGTGCATAAAATTTTTGTTCAGCTTAATAAAGCACATGGTGGTCATGGTGCTGGGTTAACCCAGATTCTCAGCACCTTTTTTCTTTACAAAGCTCTGAATTTGGGAGTGAGTTCAGAAGCCTCTTCCAGCCTACCCAGCAGTAGAAATCGTTATTGGTGAGGAGGACAATGTAAATATCACTCATTAAGTGGGGTCTCAAAATTCTTCTTGAAACTCTCTTCTCACTACTTAAGATTATATTATGATTGCTGGCCAGCGCTGCGGCTCGCTAGGCTAATCCTCCGCCTTGCGGCACCAGCACACCAGGTTCTAGTCCCGGTCAGGGCGCCAGATTCTGTCCCGGTTGCCCCTCTTCCAGGCCAGCTCTCTGCTGTGGCCCAGGAGTGCAGTGGAGGATAGCCCAAGTGCTTGGGCCCTGCACACCATGGGAGACCAGAATAAGTACCGGGCTCCTGCCTTCGGATCAGTGCGGTGCGCCGGCCACAGCGTGCCGGCCGCGGCGGCCATTGGAGGGTGAACCAACGGCAAAAGGAAGACCTTTCTCTCTGTCTCTCTCTCTCACTGTCCACTCTGCCTGTCAAAAAATATATTACGATTGCAAAAAATTAGAGGGAATTTTATGAAATACTTAAAAAATCTTAAAGGTAGAAATATTCTCCAGGGTGTTCTGACAGTGCTTATCAAATTGTAGTGACTCACAGGTACTGGTAAATTGATGAAGTCTCCTAAATTTGAATTGTGATAGCTCACAGTTCCAGTCAGAGAAGCCAATGACCCTGCAGAATAAATGGGCACCTCCCAGTGTGCAGTCCCCCTGTGGTGGAATGAGAAGGCCGTGCCAAGAGGGCCTCTGGCAAGCAAGCGTCAGTTACTCAGGAATGGCTTTGGAACCCACCTGGCAAAGGAGCCTGCCTGGCAACAGGCAGTGATTGGTTAGGGCATAAACCACCCCTTGACCGGATAGGCTGCCTCGGCTATATAAGCTGCTGTACCAACTGCAAAAAATGAGTCTGCAGGCTGCTTGCCTCCTGCCCCCACTGTGCTCCTCCTCTCAGAACAAACCCACAGCAACATCTGGCACCCGACGTGGCTGAGAGAGACAGCGTGTTGGACTCGGCAAGGCCCCCCCTTGATTTTGGCAAGTAGGCTCCTCAGTGATTTGTATGCTGTTCAGTTCTGTGAGGGTGAGCACAGAACCCCCTCCTACGCCGCTTTCCTTGTCCTTGTCCTCGGTCTAAGTGACCCCAGGTTAGGCACACATCGCCCAGAAATGTAACGCTGCTTCTCAGCTCCTCCTTTTACTTTCGGTTCACCCGGCAAATTCACATAAGGGACTGATCATCCCAAAATTCGGAACCAAGTCATCTTCCCTCACTTGAGAGCAGTGACGCTCCAGAGACACCGTGTGGAAATACGGCCTTGACCTAACGAATCAAGGAAGTCCCCCACTAAGCACAGGGCATACATATGATCTGATACACCCCTGTCTGTTCATCTAATGTAGGGAACCCCTGCATAATGCCATCAGCCACTGAGGTGCTAGGAATTTGCTTTATTCTGGCAGCAGTGCTGTGCGTGTCTTTCCTTTGGCTAGAGTTGGCGTGGCACACTGCTCTTAAGTGCTCAAACATGGGAAAGATACCCCCCTCTCAGAATCCCACACAGATTACCAAACATAATGAATCTGTGAGTGATAAGAGCCTGTCACTCCAGGCCACTGCCTCACATGCAGCAGTTGACAACTTGGGGAGAGAGAGCTCTGACAGTGAAAATGACATGACAGCAGACAACACAGCAATGCCTAGTCAGCCACCCCCCAAATACCCATGGGATGAACTTAGATGACCTTGAGGCAATAACCCGTGCAAGGTCATCCCATCTGCACCCAGTGAGGATCCTCATGTTTGTGGCATTCCCTGGGCACTCCAGGCTCTCAGGGCAGCCGCTAGACCCCATCCCACTTGCATGTTTGCCGTTAATATAGAAGTGGATGCAAAATTCAGGCCCTGGATTCCAACGCTCATAAAAAAGGTTTCTGCTAACCAAGGGCCAAAGATATGCTTGTGTCTTTCCAGAGAATATGGGACAGCCCATTTGGGTACCAGCCAGAAACATCAAGCCTGCAACTGACAGTCAATCAGAACCAGCTGAACAAGCTGCGTGTCTGCCTTGTTAGTGGACGCACCTGCTACTGATTGTCAAGCTGCTGCCCTATCATCCTACCCTGAGGAACTGCCCGTAGCCACATCTGCTACTGCTTTATACCCCACTAGCTCTGGTCATCCACTCAAACGGCCCACAGCCTGCATGCGGTCACGCCATTCCTGATTACCATTGTTCCTCATTCCTCCCCCATCTGAGCAAGCACTCCTGTGGTCTCCCGTTTTGAGGGTTGGTTAGCCAATGACAGGTAAGATCCCCTGGGGGACAACCTAAGACAGGCACAGCAGTGTACGGAGACCGCATGGAAACGGGGTCAACAATGGTATTGCCAAGGATCATGCCTCCCGTTAAAAGGGGGAAATGTGGTGGAATGAGAAGGCCATGCCAAGATGGCCACTGGCAAGCAAATGTCAGTTACTCAGGAATGGCTTCAGAAATCATTTGGCAAAGGAGCCTGCCTGGCAACAGGCTGTGATTGGTTAGGGCATAAACCACCCCTTGACCAGATTGGCTGCCTCAGCTATATAAGCTGCTGTACCAACTGCAATAAATGAGTCTGTAAGCTGCTCGCCTCAAGCCTGCTTTCACCCAACTCCCGGTGTCTGTGTGGTGACTCCGCGCCTCTTGTCCCCACCATACTCCTCTCAGAACAAACCCACCTCAACAGTACCCCAGGATGGGGTACTGTTTGGATGATGGCTTTGGCCAAACACAGGAAGATCCCCTTGGAATCTTTTGTAGGTATTTTGGTTCTCAGTTTAGTATCCTATTCATCATCTACACACTTGTTTATTGCAGTTATTCCTAGGACACACCACTCTTGTCTTTAATTATGAAAATAGGAATTTCTGAATTTCTGCTCGGTTTGGATATGATTTTCCCTTGTTTTCACAGAGGAGTGCACATTGCTGGAATAGAGCAGGATGCTGGGCCTCTTTCCCTAGGCAAGAAGAAGCTTGTTTTCTAGGTGTGCCTGAGGCAAAAGGACATATACAATATTTTTTAAGCCAGAGAATCTCCAACAGGAAGTGGTTCTCTAACAGTTATAGTGCTTTTGGGTTATTACCATGAATAAACAATTAGGTTAAATTTCTGATATATATAAAATTATCTGATATTTAAAATATTCTCTGAATGTAAAATTATATGTGTAATTTTAATTTCTGATATATAAAATATTTGCATGCAGCTCAGCCCTAAATATTGCTCTTTCTGTGCAGGGTGAGAGATTTTCTGCTCAGGGTTGTCCTAAGCAGATCTTTGTTAGTGGCTCTCACCCATTGTTGCAGCCTGGTGTCCATCTGCAGAAGGCAGAATAAAACCAAGGCTGATGCTATCTCAACGTGCATTATCCTGGGAAAGAAAACCCGATTCACATGGTGTGTGGAGAAGAATGTGGGCTTTGGAAGAAGGCAGTGTTCACTTCTCTGAGCTATTGTTTATGAGCAATTCACTTGACCTTTCTGAGTTTACTTCCTCTTCTAAAAAATGAAGACCTAATAATAGAATGCAATGACTTAACACACTTGACAAAACACTAGTTCAACGCCTGTGGCTGAGTTAACAGTAAGCGTCCTTGACCTTCTCCTTCTCCATTGAGAACATGCATTCCAGGGCTGGATCAGTGCTCACTTGTGTGAGAAGAAAGGTGAACTGAACTTCTGGAAGAGGGTAAGGGAAGCTCCTTGCCTGTGTGTTTTCTTTAGAGATTTATTTTATTTGAAATGTAGTTATACACACACACACACACACACACACAATCCTTGCTTTTTTAAGGCCCTGTGCCAACAGGGCAGTGCATTGTCTTCCCTCCTCCTGTGTGCTTCTCTGAGTCACTCACTCAGGTTTTTCTGACTCCCTTGAGAAAAGCAGGTGGTCTATCTTTGGAATAGCAGCAGCTGCTTTCTAAAGCATTTGAGCTAATGCTTAAAAGAATTCAAGCCTCTTTTAACCTTGGCTTTACATAAAAATTTTGTTTCAGACAATATATTAAATAGCTGTAGAATCTTCCTTTTAGATCTGGCTTGAAGCAAAAGGACAGAAACAGAACATTGCGAATATATTTATCTGAAAGTAAGTCTTTTTAGGAGATGTCTTAGTTGCTGCAAAATATACAATATAACATACATAGATAATGTACTGTAAATTATGTTAGATTTAATCTTCAATTTTAATTAGTCCAATGAGGTAAGATATGTTAAGTATTCATAGAATCCACCATCTAAAGATTCAAATATCCAATTCTGTGTTCCAAGTCTAGTGTGAGCTACTGCTAATCTACGTTTCTGGCCTGCTCTTTCCTGCTCCACCATATCCCGGATGCTATGATTGGATTTTCTCTCCTAGGATCCACAAGTTGAAGTCCAAACAATCAGTACTTTGAAATATAATCAAAAAGGTATCCAAGGGCTTTAACGAGGTAAAGTTAAAATGAAACCATTAGGATGGGCTATTTTCCAGTATGAGTGGGGTTCTTAGAAGAGATACCAAAGGGCTGGCACTGTGGCATAGAAGACTAAGCCTCCGCCTGCAGCGCCGGCAGCCCATATGGGTGCTGGTTCCATGTCCCTACTGCTTCTCTTTCGATCCAGCTCTCTGCTTGTGGCCTGGGAAAGCTGTGACAGATGGCCCAAGTGCTTGGGTCCCTGTACTCACGTGGGAAACCTGCAAGAAGCATCTGGCTCCTGTCTTTGGGTCGGCTCAGCTCCGGCAAATGTGGCTATTTGGGGAGTGAACCAGCAGATGGAAGACCTCTCTCTCTCTCTCTCTCTCTCTCTCCCTCTCTCTCTGTCTCCCTCTCTCTATCTGTAACTCTGCCTCTCAAATAAGTAAATAAAATCTTTTAAAAAAAGATGGCAGAAGAGACACCAGGCATGTATATATGCATACAGAGAAAAAGACCATGTGAGTACACAGTGAGGAGTCCATATGCAAGCCAAGGAGAGAGGCCTTAGAAGAAGCGAAACCTGTGGGCACCTTGATCATGAGCTTCCAGCCTCAGAACCATGAGAAAATGTTTCTGTTGTTGAAGCCACCAAGTCTATGATATTTT